TGTAAATAATGATGCTTGATACGGTTGTATCGAGTGCATGCTTGTGATGACAATAAACCGTTAATCTAGATTCCATGGCGTTACTATAGAGGAAGTTATTAACACTGATTACGAGAGGAAAACTACCAATATATAGTTTTTAGAATCTGGTTGGTTCTATAAAGTAAAGGTCTGTTCCAAATAATAGGGTTGCAAACCTAAAGCTAATGTTGGTTATTATCGAGTGCCACGTTCTTATTTGGTGTGTATTGACAAAAAGTCATGATATCTAATTAAAAACACCTTAGGCGTGAAAAAAAAGGTGCGCCCAGAAAAAAAAATTCAGCGTGCGACTTAAAGGAATGAAATCAAAATTGTCGGCCAAACTTGTAGCTACATCCATAGCATTGAAAAGAATTTTACAGCAAATATTCATTCATTAGTTAGCCAGGGCGCGTTTTTTTCTTTTTTTGTCCAACTTGAGGCATGGTTGAATAGTTAATACTCGATGAAACCTTGATAAATCTGAATAGCCAATACCTGATGAATCCTTAAAAAGTGAAAGCTGAATAGGTAGTTCAAATATGCAGTCACCACCAAGGAGAAATAGACACTTCCATTTTTTATTATACAGAATTTCTAAATGTCAGGCTTAAAAAAAAATCTAGCGCCTTCTGGCGCTTCTTATATTTAACCAAGGTTGGTTTGAGTATGTACTGATATTTAAGGTAGACCTAGCACGATTATTAATTTTGGGGACGAGATTTTTAGGTGAAAAGTCTAATTTAGGTTAAGTCTACCAGTGATTATTTCTTTTTCATTTGATAAAAATTTGTAAGTGACCATCTGAAGGATAATTTGAATATGTGTATGGTGTTTTTAGTTGTCATTTGCTCATCACACTGAAACTTATTATTTGAGTTATATCAGTTTCGGGAATTTATTTTTACACACTTTGAATATTAGCTATAGCTCCCTATTTAATTAAGTGGCGCTGCGTTATTATTTTACTTTTGCGCTAGTATTTGAATATTTATAGTTTCGGCGATCTGACCGAGTTTTTCAACTTTTTTGCTAGGACAGACATTTCTTCTTTGTGTAAAATAGTTGTACTGGTCGTAAAATAACGATTTTCTATCATTTCTGTTTGTAATTAAGGGTACACATGACATTTTTATTTTATGGGACTAAATAAGTAGGTTAGTAATTAAATATAGCTTGAAATTGAAAATTACTCTTGGAAGTTAGTCTAACTCATAAGTGAGACTCTTGAGACTGAGAGTTTAGAAGAGATTGTTAAACTTTAAAGAATCACAAAAACAGTAATAAAGGTATAAGTTTTATGTTACATTACCTTTTAAGAAAAATAAATTATATTTTCTATTCCCAAGAACATGGATGTGTGGAACAGTTTTCTAATTACCCGGTTTTTGCAGACCATGACCGCCATTAATGATTAATGTTGATAAGAATGTAATTGTACATATAATTATAAGGCTTTGGGCATGTACGTTTAAAATTAGATACTACTACTAATATTGTTGGAAAGCTAAATTTAAAGTAATGCCAGGTGAATTCTAATTCCACAGTGTACTATCATCTAAGTAATTATTTGAATTCATTGCAATTGTCTAAATTAAAACTAATATTTTGACTTACAATTTTACATTCCATTAACAACAGCTTAGATGACACAAGTATCTGTAGCTTTTAAAGTAGTACTATAAATGGTTTAAATTAAAAGAGTGAAAGTAGGGTCCTAGATAAGTCATGTTTGGTTGCTGTGATAAAGTATGAGCCTCATATGGTTCAAGGCTATTTATCACATATTGAGAATAAACAAGTTCCCTGCTTGTATTTATCTTTCTGGTAAACTGGATGTACAAAGGTTATAAATGTCTATATTAATATTCTAGCTGTGATATAAAGCATATGTAATATTGGCTGCCCTGTGGAAGCTTGACTCAGTGTTTGTTCTTTAGGGTGCAGTAAGCCCATTTGAGGGGATGACACAGATACTAGAATAAGTTGAGTTGGAAGGTTCTCACCCTTGTATACTTGTATTTGGAATAATTGTTGACTTAAATAAAGTAAGAATTGTGGGATATCACAGTAGGATCTCAGTTTGACATAAATGTGGGATATTTCCATGATTCTGTGTCTTCCATCCAAGCATGCTTTGTTCCTGTTTGTATCTGGTTTATAAACTCAGCAGCCAGTATTCATATACTGTGAATTAGAAGCTGACCAGTGAAGTGTAAAGTTTTCATTACTTAATTAGTAAGAATAAAGAGTTGATATGTTTGTATACCCTTCACAGTCTTATTTAAAAATATTGCTCTACATGGTGTTTCTGGACCCTGTGTTGTGCAGATACATGATTCTTGTAGACATACCTAGAGACAGCTTTATCATGTTTTATTTGTTATGTGATCTCAAGTATTTGCTTTTTCCTTGGCTTTTCAGTTCTTAATAAGTTATAAAATAACTTTCCATGAAGATAAATACTACTTGTAGACCTCTTGAGTGATTTTTGTAAGTCATATTGCTATCTTGTCACTTGGTTTGGTTATGTAAATTTCTATTGTTAATTTTTGTTCTATGCAAACTTGTTTACTAGAAACATCTTCAGTTTTTTCATGGATCAGTTAAGTAGGAAACTGGGCCAAAGGAGTCTTAGCCAATGTACAGCAGAATCAGAACTCCCCAAGGACAGTTTTGACACATCTCTGTCAGATATTGATAGACTAAAAAGAACAATAGCAGAATTGAAAGAAGAAAATTCATTGCTTAGACACAAAATTGAAATTAAGAAAGAACAACAATTAAAAAGGTATTTTAGATTTTCAGTATTCTAGATTGTACATTGTAATCATTTAAACTATTACATTAATTAAAGATTTTTCATATCTCATAACTACCTTTAGAATTTTTATAAAGCAAGTTTTAATCTGGAGATTTTCAACTGTTTTTGGTAAGGCAGATTTGGAAGATAAATATTTATTTAGTATTAAGACAGATTAAAAATGTAGACACTTTATCTTAGTTTGTGTAATTCTAATTTTGAAGGTAATTATACTTTAAATACAGTATTTTTATTTATTTCCATGGATTTATCTCTTGTTTATTGGGTGTTTTGCTTTTTTTCAGTTGCAAATAGATTCTACTGCAGTCATTCTCAGGTTTATTAGACATGGTATAGTGTAGAGCTGGTTGATTTAGTTGATTACGTATGAACAGTAGTTACATCAATTAGTCATATTGATTAATGTCACAAAAATAATCAACTAATTGAAACTAATGTTTTCAATTAATGTTTATGATAATTCTAGCTAACAATCAAACAAAATTATAGTTAAATTGATTCTCACAAAAATAAATAATTGAAATTATGGTTTTCAGTTACTCCAGCTATCCAAGTAATTAAAATAATACCATTATGTTTGTTGTTAAGCACAAAATTTTGCAGTATGCTATCTATGTGCTGCCCCTTAAGGTTTGAAAACCTAGTCTTAGCATTATAAGATGTTTTTCTTATCTCCAAGTTTGTTGTTTCTAAACATTTACAATGCAGTTGCATTGTGCGTGATACATTTTCATGGACAAAGTTTAAGATTGAAAAAGTAATGTAATTTTAAGTTATTGTACCTGAAGTCTGAAGACACAGTTTCCTCTGGCTTTTCATATTTTGTTACCACTTGACACTTTTTTAGACAGATTTGAAAGAAAAGTTTGTATTTTCATTTTTGCTCAATTGGAAAAAGCTTTGCTTGAAAAGAACCTATTTGTTGATTTTATTTTTTAGAATTTTTCTTCCCATCACAAAGAATAACCTTACTTTTATTAGTAACTTATTACCTCAGGAATATATTACTTCCCTAATCTACCACAAGTATTTTAAAAATTCACAAATATAGAATCATGCAGAAACTACTAAAAATGCCCTAAACCTATGTATCTACTCCACTATGATTTGATTGGATAGAGCAAGAATCATACTATCATATTTAATATTTCTGTTTCTAAAGTTGTGTGTTATTAAAACAATTGATGGGACATGATAACAAGGTGGCAACCAAGGATTGTACAAAAACTAATGGAAGCATTTGAAAATCACTATCTGTTTGAAAGCTACAGAAATTTTCTTCAATAAGAAGACATCAGATAAGATAAGGTGAGCTTATATAGCTTAGAGAATGTTGAATGGATAACAAAGAAAACATTATGACAAGTTTAATACTAACAAATGTACTGTTGCATCAGCGAGGTCACGTGACTAGTGTCGCGCCACGTTTCTAGAACTATCCTGTTCCTTCGGGAGTGCTCTAGCATTTGCTAGATTGGGGGTGGTCTGGTATATATAAGATGGTCACGGCGTGACATGACAATGTGTGTGTAGGTAGTGAGTAATTGAACTGCAGTCAGAAAGTATTGTTGAAGTTAACGTTCGTTGTTAAAACGTTTGTTATAGAGCGACTGTTGAAAATAAGTGTATCGGTAAAGTTATATTCAGAAAGAAAAAAACAGTTTTATTAAGTAAGGACTTGTGTTGCTAAAGTTTCGTGGGAACGAAGTTACGGAAAATCAATTAACGACTGGAGGCGTAACAGTACAATATTTTGTCATCATCAGGTACAAGTAGCTTGCCTAAACACATGAATATAGTACAGTATGACACAAAGAAGTCATGACTGGAGATTGTTTAAGGTTTTGTAAAAGTGTCTTATTGATGTTTGGTTCCTTGTTTAAAGTGAGTATTTTCTACTTCCTTATAGATATAGTATGGTTTTATTGAGTGGCAATGCTAGTAAATGTAATTTGAAAAGGATTTAGAAAACAAAGCTAGGTGAATGAAAATAGGAGGATTAATACCTTGTTCGAATAATGCAGGAGAGGACATGCATTAATTGATCAACTAAATGTAATTGATTAGAAAATACCAGTAGTCACCCAGCTTTAGTTTAGTAAATGTGCACTGGCCAAGTGAATTAACTTCTACTTTTGACAAAGTGAAGTAATCAATTTCTATGTTTACATACCCTGATGTTATATTATTTTCCTTTAGGAAGGTTCACAAGAACATTTTAATAGCAGAGCAAAGTAAAGACAATGACATTGAAACTCTGAAAAAAAGAGTAAGACTGTGTATATACTTTTTTGTACATTTGTAAAAAAAATTTTCACACTTCTTTAAGTTATGTTTTTTAATGTGTATAGACTTAGTTGTATGATTATAAAAAGAAAAAAAGAATTTATCATAATTTATCTTTCCAAATTAAGCATGTTTTTTAATGTGTGATTTACAACTTTAAGTTTTATCATTTTAATGTAAAAACTTTTTCATAATTCTAGCTGTTGTTAACCAAATACCTTTGTGGAATAAACATTTCATCATTCACCCGTGATATCTGTGGTTACAGTAAGTGAATTTTTAAACTATTAGTTTCATTGTAATAGAAATGTCACATTATTATTTGCTTTTGAAATAAGTCAGAGATAAAATTAATTACAAGTAGCAACAGACCAAGATTTTTAATAATTAGAAGTTTTGTTTACATTTTTAGACAAAATATTTTAATAATGCCATCAAATTAAACGTCTCTGAGTTTAGCATTTCTGTGTAACTTTCTCACAAGTTTGTGTTCTTGTTACTTCATGGAGCCTGCTGGTAAGACAGAAGTTTTATATTCTTTATACAGATGAGGTGGAGAAGACCAGCATGTGCCAGATGTCGGGAGATTGTAATGGTCTGAAGTTTCAGACTGAATTTCAGGTAAAACTAATAAAAGGCTGTAGTTATTAATTATTTTTCAGAAATTAGAAGGAATTGTATTTATTTGTAATTACTGATTTTGTTTAACCTAAAATTATTAATTTATTGATTATTATTTATTACTTCATTTATAATTAACTGAATGATAATGATTATGTTTGCCAAGTTTGATAAAATAAATCCACCTTTTCTATATTTGAAATCAATGGATGAAATGTCTCCACATTTACACATGGAATATCCTATAATTTAGAGGGAGTATAAACAACATACATAAAGAAATATATTTCTCTATATATATAACATCTAGATAGATACATTATATGTATAAAAAATCTGAAATTTAAACTTTAATACACTTATTAAAGTGTAATTTTGTATTTATTTTGTTGACTTTCTGCCATTTTTTTTAGCTTACCCAAGATTTCTTGTGTAATTTTAAGTTAAATGACTTTACTCTTATATTTAGAATAATTAAAAGTAATTATTTGCAGCTTACAAATGTCAGATCTAATTCTACACTTTTTGTTTTTTCAATGTGAATAAAAGATAAGAAATATATATGCATATTACAGTTGGTAAAGCTTATGTTAAACTTTTCTTTAATTCTTAAAAGATTACAAATATATATAAATTTCATTATTATTTTATGTATAGTGATTAGTTTTGTGTTTCAGTTTTTAGTAGACTATACAGGTATTTAAATTTATTGGGAAACTGAATTAAGTACTTTTGGTTTACATTTAAGATCTTCTGACCATTAGGTAGTTGAAGAAGATAGGAAGATTTGTCGAATCAGTAATCTGAAGGTGGCTGTTCATGAAGATGTTACAGAAAATCTGGACAAATTCACTTGGTACTGATACTCAGAAAATAATTTTACATCAGTATAAATAAAAGAATCAGATTTATATAACTTGAGGAGATTATGAAATATAAGTACTCATTCATCAGGCTACCTATGAAAAACTGAGCCATGAAAAAACATTTTATACTTAATTAACAAATAAAAGCAATTGCTTAGCTTATGTATTATCTGTAAAACTACTAGTTTAACATTAAATAAACAATAAAAAATAAAACTTCAGTTCTTGTACAAGGACAGAGAATTAACAATAGTGTATAAATAAATACAACCAGTTTGTAATAAAAATTACTAGGTCTGAATATAGAAGATTAAAACCAATTTGTAGTTAAAATTACTAGGTTTGGATATAGAGGATTAAAACTAGAGTATAGTTAAAATTACCAGCACACAAATGCTCAGTCTGGTATATTTTATATCAAGTTTTGGATATGCTAAAGTAATCTAAGAATTTGATTGTTTTTAATATTGTTTAATAATGTAAGATTTACATTATATTAATGTAAGATTAATCACCTGACGTATGAATTTGTTTGTATATGGCATTTTAAAATTTGTTTGTATAAGGTGTTTTAAAGTTTGTTATATTTAGTATTTTTTAAGATCTTTTTTTTTTCTGTGCAGGTATCAAGATCAGAATTGTTTACAAGACTTTTTACACAGTTACCTTAATTATTCAGAAAGCTATGCAAGCCTGAATGAATTAGTTGCATTGTTGGAGTCACGCTTTCAAGAGTCCATAGAAGTAGTAAAAAAGAACAGTAGAGTAATGGTTAGGATATCCAAAAAAGGAGCAAACAGGTATTAAAGTATTTTAAAGTTAATTTTATTTACTGCATATTTATGTAATTTTTATTATTTTGAATCATATTAATTTTGTGTATTTGATAAATTTTTAGTACAGGAAATTTTGTAGTAACTAATTTGATGGGTGGATCAGCACGAACCTCATTCATTTAAGCAGTGTTTTGATACTTATTCTCTTAAAATGTGTTCAGGCATGTTGATGCACAAATCATGGTCACCCATTAGAGCTAATGATTGTTTGACTTTAAGATAAACTTGTATGACATTTAGGGCCAGGAGCCTGTTGATCCATTGAGACTGTCTCATTCACTGAACTGAACAATAATAATAAAATTACAAAAAATGTTTAAAGCCAGCTTTTATCACTTAAATATTAAGCAAGCCTTCCATCAAACTTGCTTAGACTTACTGCATCCAGTTCTAAAGGATAATCACTATGTTAGAAAAATAAAACTGTCTTCTTTGAATGTGACTCCTACCCTGCCAAAATTTATATTTGTGTCTCTTTGTCCTACAGTTCTCACCATTAAATAGGAAAAAAAAAGATGATGCATTAACATTATCAGTTCCCTTAACACCTCAATCAGATCTTCTATAACAGAAAACAGTTTCAGAGGTCTTAACCTGATCTTGTATGACAACCTGTCCAGAATGTAGTTAACTGCATTTTCTGATCAGGAATGTTTTTTCTGTAGTTTTGTACAGAGGATTAAACTTATCCATGTTGCATGTGATTATTTTTAATTTGAAAATTATCCTTAATACTTTAGTGGTTTTTGTGTATAAAGTAGTAAAAATGTGGCTTTCAATTTCAAGCTATTTAAAGATGTATTGGGTGAAAAAAGTGACAATGAAGGTGCAACTTCGGTAAAGTAAATATTATCTTATGCTTGACTAATTTCTCTTGAGTAGGTTGTCTGCACTGGAAGTTTAAAATAATTTATTTCATTCTTGCACTTATATGGAGTTGGATTTTTGTTTAAAACTTCTTTATGCTTTTTTTGAAGAAATACTCAGAACTAAAGGAAATACTCCCAAGTGGCTAAGCAGTCAGTCTGGGGGTTTCAATATTTGTGGTGGGCACAGCACAGAGTGGCTACTGTGTAGCTTTGTGCTTAACAACAAGCAAACAAAGTGAAGTAAATAATACTGAAATTTAAGTTTCAGCAACACAAGGATTTAAAAAATTAAGTCAAATTTAATAGTGGGCAAGATTTCTTGGTTATTGATACTAATAGCTGTTATTAAAATGTGTTGGGGATCAGGATATATGATATCAAAATGCTCTGGGGATCAATAGCTATGATATCAAGATATATTGGAGACTGATATTTAAACTGTGTGGTATCAGGAGGTAGATATCAAGATGTGTTTGAATCTAGATATGAAGATATATTGGATACTGAGATCTAAACTCTGTGTGGTATCAGGAGGTAGATATCAAGATATATTTGATCTAGATATAAAGATATATTGCAGACTGATATTTAATCTTGGTATTTGTGTGGTATCAGGAGGTAGATATCAAGATATATTTGATCTAGATATAAAGATATATTGCAGACTGATATTTAATCTTGGTATTTGTGTGGTATCAGGAGGTAGATATCAAGATATATTGGAGACTGATATTTAATCTCAGTATTTGTGTAGTATCAGGAGGTAGATATCAAGATATATCGGAGACTGATATTTAATCTCAGTATTTGTGTGGTATCAGGAGGTAGATTTCAAGATATATTGGATCTAGATATCAAGATATATTGGAGACTGATATTTAAACTCGGTATTTGTGTGGCATCAGGAGGTAGATATCAAGATATATTGGAGACTGATATTTAAACTCTATGTGGTATCAGGAGGTAGATATCAAGATATATTGCAGACTGATATTTCAACTTGGTATTTGTGTGGCATCAGGAGGTAGAACACCTAAAGTTAATGGAAATTTGTAGCTAACTTATGAAGATGTATTGGTAATTAGGACTGATTTACTTAACGTTTATATTTCAATCTGGTTACTGTAGTTAAATCTTGAATTCTTTAATTATTTGCTTATTGTAAGAACATTACTTATTTTCTTACTAAAAAAAAGGGAACAACTTCATATTTCCTGGGATTTTCTGGAAGACCAAGATCATGGCTACAACTGTATCCTGGGGTCACCAAATATTGGTCAGTACAAAGATGGAGGATTGGAATCCTGCATAGTTTAAATGCCATGTTATTGATAGTGTACGATTTATTTCTGTGTTACCAGTTTTAAACCAGGCTCTTCATTGTACAGACATTAAGTATATATTTGTTTGTGTTATTGTTTGATAACTAATGTATTAATACTTTAGTTTTATGTTTATCAGTAACTTCCGATCAAGGCAAGCTATGTACATAAATCAATCCAGTAATTAATATAGCTAATTTAATATAACAGCATGCAATGTCATAACATTTTTCAATGTAATAACGAACAACTTTAGAATGGCAATCACAGTAAATACCTCGCTACCTAATTATTTAAGTCTTACTATTAATGTGATTTTTTCAAGTTATTATTACAGTCTCTTCTATGTTATAACATTACATTGTTATACTTGTTGTTACTTCTTTGATTCTCATTACTACTTTGATTTTTCTTGTAACTTATTATGAACCCAACAGATGAATCAATAAATTCTAATCATTACACATTTTTTATAGTTAAGCAAGGACTACCTGTACTTTGATAAACTTTATACTGGTGTGTCACTTTCTGATTGGACAGAAGCCATTTTCAGTGTGAACTGTCAACACGTGACTGTACCTTGGCACAGTTCATTTTCTTGTGATAAATGGGTAGAATTTCTATAACTTTTGCCTGTCGTATCCTTTTCCTCATTGTTTCCAGTAATGCATATAATATGCCTCAAAAAATCTCTTTCTATTGTACATTAAATTGAAGTTTAAAAATGACTAATTTCAATTATAGGTGAATCAGAAATGTCAACAATGACTGAAAAGTTTCAACTAGCTGTAAAAGATGTGGGACTGAAGGCTGCAATTCTTGGTTTGATAGATTTGTTTTTAAAGACTGTGTGAAGAAAAGATTAGCAAACATTTCTACTTCTGTTTTCAAAATCAAAGGAACAATTTCAATTATTGAAAGAGCTTGTGAAAGAATTTAGCCATAGTTGTCTTTTTGATAGATTTATTGAAGTTTTGAGGTTTAATTTTTTTTCCTATTTTGTAAAAGCTTTCCAAGTGTTTCAACAATGAAATGAAAGTCTTCATAAATGTGAACAATAAAGTTTTTGCTTTTAAACTTATGTGGCTTGGATTAAAAAATAAAGGAATATTATGTAATTAATTGAATTGAAAAAGTAACTTCAAAACTAATAAATGTTGTACTTGACAAAACAAAATGTTTGGTGTAGTTTGTGACACTCTTCTCCCAGAATATGCTTTATTTTTCTTTTGTCAGCTTATCTTATCAGTCAGTTGAATGTCAAATTTTAAAACTTTATGTATATTCTGGTATACATTACACAAAACTCCAAGGAAATGTGTTTTACAACAAGAGAAACTAACAAAACTTACAAACTATGAGATATACAAACCTTGACTTGGAACTAAATGTCTAAAACTTTGTTTATGAAGAGGTAATGCATTAGACATTCAGATAAGTTTAATACCTGTTTCAGAAAACGGGCTTTTTAACTCTCATATTACTTCTAACAATATGAAAAAATTATATTCTACTAAACAGTAAAACAGAGGTTTTCAAGACTAATTAATAGAACATTAAAAATTTGGTATATGCTTTCTAGATATTCAGAGGAATACGTTGATAAATTAGAGATGAATGCCTTAGAAATACGTTACTGTAAATGGTTTTATACAATGACAGTTGGGAACAAATCCTTACCATGGACAAAAGGATATCCTAGGGCGTTGGTTATGACAAGTTATTTTGAACTTTCTAATTATGTTCCAGTAAACATCTAGTCAGCTTAACCTTTAAGCAGGATTACATTAATAACTATTTTCACTAATACTAAAATTGTGAGTTTTTGGCCAGGTATTGTTGCACAATGATTTTTTTTTTATGTGCTGTACATTTTTATTTGGTAGATTTTATATTTTTGCACTTATCATTAGACTACACTACCTTGTTGTTTGTTTATATACTGACCTGTGATTAAATCTGACACTGATTTGTTATTTATTGTCATGAAACTACACTACCTTGTTATTTGTTTATATACTGACCTGTAATTAACATTGACACTGACTTGTCATTTTTATATATACTGACCTGTAATTAACCCTGACACTGACTTGTTATTTGTTGTCGTGAAACTACACTACCTAGTTATTTGTTTATATACTGATCTGTAATTAAACTTGACATTGATTTGTTATTTGTTGTCATTAGACTACACTACCTAGTTATTTGTTTATATACTGATCTGTAATTAAACTTGACATTGATTTGTTATTTGTTGTCATTAGACTACACAACCTTGTTATTTATTTATATACTGACCTGTAATTAAACTTGACATTGATCCGTTATCGTTATACTACACTACCTTGTTATTTTTTATATACTGACCTGTAATTGAACTTAACACTTTGGTATAACAAAAGTGATATGCATATGTTATTATTATTTAAAAGTGGTAAGAACATTATCTGAAAATTCTGTCTTATGAGAAAACCCGAACTTTGTGAGCTTGTTATGTGTTTAGAATATTTCAATAATAAAAACTTTGTTGGTTAAGTTTAATTATATGGGTTGGAATGAGGAAGTTATTTAAATCCATTGACAGAAAATTTCAAAGGGGAAGAAGAAGAAAATACTAAAATCTTGACAGGTTTTCTAAATAATGTACTTTTACTTTGATTGTAAATTATTTTCATTGATAGAAAAGTTAGGTCTAAAAATAATAAACATTTTAATTATGTTTGATACTAGATGACACTAGTGATACAGTAGGAGTATAATGATTACTGTTGCTATGTGCACACTGTGGTACCAGTAAACAAAACCACATCTCTATAAACCAGTCATTTAGTTCTGAGAAGTTGAAGCATATTGGTGGTGTATTTGAATATAGTTTATATAATGATAGACCTTTACTACATTTTAACACTTTAACGGGAAAAAGTACCTAGAAAAATGTCAAGAAATCTTGCAAAGTTGAATTTGAGAAATATTATTTTTTTACTGTTGGGAACACTCTTTGTTTTGCTACTTTATTTCATACTTCATAATATTAGTTACAGGAAGGCTCTTTACAAAACATACACTCGAGTCCTGTATGATCACGATAATAAAACCATCATTACCAGTAAAGTTAGTTTGAAGCATCTTCTTGCAGTAAGCATAGATATAGCTGAAAGAGGTGGTGTTGAACTGAAAGCTGTTCGAAAACTTGTAGATGTGCAAAAGGTGAGAAAGGGTAAAAGTGATCCTTTCTATGAGGGTAATGTAAAATCATACTGTGCAATGATGTATGGATTTAAAAAGATACATCCAGAAATTAAGGTATGTTACTCTTTTAGCATTGGACTAAAAGTTTAATGTTATGGATTAGAAAGTTAAGTGTCCACAAATAGATAGTTTCTCAGAAAAAATACCTTATATTTAACAAAAACTTAATATTTTTATCATTCCTTATTGAACTGTGATAATTTTTTTTAAATGAGACAATGTTTTAAACTTATTCAGCTAATTGGACTGTGACAAAGTATTCTGGTGTTGTTTTATCTAATATACCACCATTAAAATCTTTAATTGAAAATTTTACTAATATCTTTCCTTAGTTAAACATGAAAAAACAAATTATTTTCCTTATAATTCTACTGTCAGTACCTCTTGGCCCAACAATGCCACTGCTTGAGTCCTCCAAAACAGAAATGGCAGAATGAACCATATCATTTTAACAGCTTTGAAGTTAACTAAAAATAATGAACCTCTACTAGTGTTTTTAGTTAAGGAAAAAATGAAAATAAAATAACCAAAACAAAAAATTAACAAGTTAAGGAAATGGACACTAAAAAAACAAAATGCTTAAAAACTAGTGACAATGAAAAACTATGGTTTTTGTGTGTAAGACATTTTTCTTTATTTTCTCCACTGTTACAACCACAAAACTTATTGGTTGACCATACTGTTCTGTAGGTGTGTGCTACAAGGGCATAAATAGTAATAACCCAGTGATTTCCCATTTGCTTTACCAATGTTTAACAATTGTTTATTTATTTGCTTCTATCACAACTGTGGAAAAGGTTATACACACACAAATTGACAAAAACACCTAATGTTTCATTCACAAGGACACTTTTTAAAGTAATTGTTTAAATGCTTAAGCCTATTAAGATTATTATTATATTTCCTGCGTCAATAGGACTGTCTTGGGTCCAGTAAAATTGTGAGGAGGACAAGACTGTGTTTTTTGTCAAGACAGCTTTATGAATTACAAAAACAAATTACATGATTTTGAAGTGAAAGTTGTTTAAATTCATTCTGCATCCTTACACACTATTCTCACAAACCACTGACATATCAAGTGATATTTAAGTAGAACTTTGCTTTTTTTACAGTAAAATTATTTTTATTAGATGTCAAAAAAGGTTCCCAAAAGTGAGAGAATACTACAATTCGAGTACTGATTGATGCTTACATTTGGTTCCATACAATAAGTCTGTTGCCACCATTCACCCTTTAAAGTAAAACAAAAAAGGCTCACAGTTCTTGTGTAAAGTTTCCATTCTTCTAATGCTTTAAATACAACCTTTTATTCCAGAACTCTAGAACATTCTCAGTTTTTTAATCTGAAATAACATGTTATTCTATGCACTCGAACAATGATTGTAGTCTTTCAGGTAATATAAATAATATGTAAATCTATGCACTCGAACAATGATTGTAGTCTTTCAGGTAATATAAATAATATGTAATTCTATGCACTCGAACAATGATTGTAGTCTTTCAGGTAATATAAATAATATGTAAATCTATGCACTTGAACAATGATTGTAGTCTTTCAGGTAATATAAATAATATGTAAATCTATGCACTCGAACAATGATTGTAGTCTTTCAGGTAATATAAATAATATGTAATTCTATGCACTTGAACAATGATTGTAGTCTTTCAGGTAATATACATAATATGTAATTCTATGCACTTGAACAATGATTGTAGTCTTTCAGGTAATATAAATAATATGTAAATCTATGCACTCGAACAATGATTGTAGTCTTTCAGGTAATATAAATAATATGTAATTCTATGCACTTGAACAATGATTGTAGTCTTTCAGGTAATATAAATATGTAATTCTATGCACTCGAACAATGATTGTAGTCTTTCAGGTAATATCAGAAAAGGAAGATTGTTCAAAAATTAACCTTGATGACGATCAACTGCCAAGAGGAGAGAATACAGAAGTTAAAACGATGTTGGAAAGTGTAGATGAGAAGGTGCTTTCAGAACAGATTGCAGTTTGGGTTGAGCCTTTAGATTGTTTTCATGAATATAAAAGTAAATTTCTTAAATATCAGACAAAATTATACCAATAATTGTTTTAAACGTTTAAAATTTACAGGTAGTTTAGCTAATCAACATAAAATCAATAATAATGGAGTATTTTATCTGCTTGAATTATTGAATAGTTAGCAATTTATTTTTGTTTTAAGCAAACTAAATAATATTCAGATGAACTAATCACAATTTACAGATATCTTTTACTTAAAAGATATTCACAAATAATCTTTTTTTCTACAATAAAGAAAATGAGAAATAGTTTCTGTAATCCAAAATCATGAAATGTGCATTATAATTTTTCAACTTCAAACAAGATTTACAAACTTCTAAACAAATAAGCAATGAAGCATTCCTGCCCAAAACAACACAAATAAGTATGCTATTCTAAAAAAAGATTATAACTTAAAAATGTTTTTGTTGTGAACAAGATAAACATTTACCATCACTTTTTTAAAAATAAAATGAGCATTTGAAAATAATTTTTCAGTTTTAATTAAAATGAACATTTATAAATAATTCTTTTAAGTAAGATGAGAAATAAACAAGGTGTACATTTACAAAAAGAATTATTTAGTAGTCACAAATCTTTCTTTAACAACGTGGTTACTTCTGAATAGATCAAAGTGGGAACTTTTAAAGTACGAGATAATTTTGCTGGGAATTCAGGATAAATCATTTGTATGCTTATGCCATATTAGGTTAAGTGTTTAGGTACAACCAGTAGTTTGTTGCTACATGTATGTGGTAATGTTAGTGCATCTTTATTAATTCTTAATTAATTTCATGATGAATCAGATGTATCAAAGATATTTTAGCTTTATTTCTTTTTTTTCAAATTTTAAATATAAATGTAACTTACTAAATATTGTAAAAATTTATAGCAGTAACTTGTTTGTTCATAATTTACAAGTAGTTTAGCTAAATGAAATAAAAATGAGTAATTTAACAGTAAAAGACCAATACTATTGTGTTTAACACTTAAATGTAACAGAAAACTACACTTTTGAAGCACTTGTACAAGTTTCAACACAGTCTCTTTCTGATGTTGTCTTCTGAGAAGAAATTAATCAGTACAGTTTACAGAACAGCAGAGTTTGGAATTCCCTTAAGGCCATAGGTGGTCAGTAGACATTTCAGTATAAAGTAACCTTTCAAGTATTAAAAATTAAAAACTTTTTTATGAATAAACTTTTAAAAATTCTTTTTGTATATATATTTTTCTGTTTTTGATAGAGTATATTTTGTTTCAAAAGATGGTTTCCTTCCTACATTTAAGTAATTTGATGATGCAGTTGAAAAATGTTGAAAATAACCCACTATTTAGTTTCAGTATAAACACACGGAGAATACAGATTTCAAGTTACATATTAAAACCACATTTTGATATTATTCCTCACTTAACCTTTCCCATTTCATGATTTTGAAATAACTATGCATGAATACTTACTTTTATCATTATTATCTTTCACAGAGAACCTATTACCATGTGTTGCAACTATGGTGTGTGTGGCAGTAAATGGTAAGCCTGTTATTGGTGTGATACATCATCCATTTCAAAACTTAACAGGTAAGTTGATGTTAATATGCTCATAATGCACTGTTTTCTTAAGTGAAAGTAAAACTGTTTATTGTTCAGGTACATTTAAATATACACTGTACAAAGTTGGAGTAAGTACATACATCTATCAGTTGTGTTGAATTCAGTGGTTTGTGATTTTTACATTATATAATTTTTATACAGTATTTAATTTATTGCAATCATTTGTTTTTAGTATTTTATTTGTGTAGTTTTAGGATAACTTGTATTATTCAGGTTACAGTACACATAGTTTAATGTTGAGATGCTTATTATAGTTTTTGTTGTTCATGGTTTACAGTACATGTAGTTACTATAGTTTTTGTTGTTCATGGTTTACAGTACATGTAGTTACTATAGTTTTTGTTGTTCATGGTTTACAGTATGCGTAGTTACTATATTTTTTG